ATCGAGTCTGTCATAGATCTCCTTGTCCATGAAGCGTCCCACAGTCGTATCTTCGAATGGGCATCTGCTTGCAAAGACTTTCACGAATCTCGATCCTTTTGACAAAAACTCCCATCCTGAACACCCCTTCTCGATGTCCTGCGCTCTCTGCAACAACTTGTAGGCTACCTCCAGGGCTTGTGCAGTGGCTTCACTGGTGCGTCTGGAGTTTGCAAAGTATGCTGAGTAGACAACTGCAGGCGGCATACCAAACCTAATCCACTGGTTGGCTGTGTCCTCATCTGAGATCAGTCGAAAATTCGAACCTCGGGTGTCTCGGAATGGTGATGGAGTCTTGGCTGCAATGGACCCTTCGGACAATCCCTTCAGCACCCGTAATGCAACGGTGATTCGGCTTCCGGCAAATTGCCCTACTGAGTTCAGATCCTGTGTATCGGCCATCCCGCTTTGTACAGAATAAAGTCGCACGGACCGTAGGTCTCGTGACAACTGTTCGAACAGCGAAAATAGTTGTACGAACCGTAGGTCTCGTAACAACCAGTCGGAGTCGAATTCAGAAAGCAGTAGGCACGAAAATGAAAAGTGCCACGATGAATGAACCGAAGTTGATGTCAATCTCGAAAAGCACCAGTGCAGTAGCGATCGCTCGAACGAATGGTCAATGGCGTCGAGCTCTCGAGTAGCACAAACGGATGTTGCCACCGACTTGATTGGGTGACTGCGGACATTCTCGGAATCACGAGACATTTCAGCTTTCAGTTGTTCATCACATGCAAGCGGCTTCCAACGTTTCATCACTCTGACGTTCACAAATTGACTATTCCTGATTACATGATCATTGATTCCATTCATGATTATCTTGGCTATCCATTTAGTGTAAACTTGAGTAATGCGAGTTTCCCTACCGGCACACTCTGCATGGTCATGACGGCGATCGCATCTTCTATGAAGCTTCGGAAAAGATACCCCCCATGAGACAATCTTCCATGGTTTCTTGATAGGTTTGGGAGTCTCTTGGAATTGTGATTTCAAGCCATACATGCATCCATCAAATTTGTGCTCATGAGATATGGTTCCTTCCACAAGTTCTGTCATTCTACGGTCCTTCCAGTAGTCACAACCTCTAGGCAACTCAAGCAAGGCTGGTGATCCCATGTTGATAAGTTCACTTAGCACTGATGCAAACACTTCCCACATCGCCCAGAAGATCTGCTTCTTTGCTTCGATGAGTTGTGTTGTTGCTTCGCTCACCCATCGGTTGATTCGGTTCCATGGTGAACCTCCTGTACATGGACCTGCAAAAAACATTGAATCAAGTTTGGTCCGAAGGCATCGCCTTGCTTTACTGATTCCGTACGGAGAGAGCATGTCGTCATCTTCAGTGATTGGCACGACATGAAACTTCATTTCGTCTTTCATTTTGTTCTGCAAGAACGTAAACCAGTTTCTCTCTTCCGAACATAACAAGACGAAGCATGGGACTGCTTGAGGAACTTCGATCAAATTGATTGCAAGGGAAAACTTCGCATACTTTGACGTCATCATGTCACAAGGTGATTTGGAAAATTGAAATTCCAAAGTTCTGTTTTTCTTTTCTCTCCAAAGGATTACCGACACTGTAGGATGGTCAACCTCATGTTTGCCTACTTCAACGTGATATTGGTAGGGGACAAAAACATCAGTGATGGAATAGTTTTCACGTCATTGCAATTGGTGCATAGCGTGATTACTCCCTGACTCACTTTACAGTTCTTACCTCCATCGATCACTTCAGCATTGGCGAGCACCTTGAATGTCGATTTTCCAGTCCAAAATTCATTCAACTTGTTCGTTGATTCACGATTGTCGCCCTTGAATCTCCATATGTCTTTGATCACTCGAGTATTGGTTTTGAACTTTTGTTCAGTTTCCCTCTCATCACATATGATCCTAGGGTCACAAGGACAGTCTTCGCAATCCTGTGGTACAAAGTTTTGCCTTCTTGGCGTTTTGTGAATTCGGATCAATGTCTTTTTCCCATCCCACTGCCAATGGTCTTCATTTTTCTTACCTAACACTTGGGATTTTCGGGTGGATTTTACAAACGGAATGTTATCATTGATGTCCAATTCCGGATGCGTATGGCATAGGCCAGGTGTTGAAGTGGACTGTAGGTGTCCCTTTCCTTCACCCTCACTACATCCTTCACCCTCACTCCCCCCATGAACAAGGCGCATAAGCGTATTGATCACACGTGTGGCTGGCTGAAGGCACTGGTGAATGGATTTCGGGTGTTGAGACGGTGATGTCTGTGCATCTAAAAACAAGGCATCAACCGAGAACATCAGCATTGGTGAATCGGTCAGATGCTGTACACGGTCATGTTGTGTTGACGCACACGAGTCACGTAGTGATCTCGAGTGGGCAGGCGGGGCATGCACGTGCTTTGACGACATCACCCGGTGGGTTGAGGTCGTTGAAACGGATTGTGAAACAGTGTCCGGGATCAACGGCTGCTTGTTAGGCGAATGATACTGAAAACACGCTCGTTCAACCCACTTATCAAATCTGATGGCCTGCTCGGGTGGAGATGCACGGTGTTCGACCTTTGTCCAGGTACCATTGAGAAGAACCCATGTGGATCTCAATACATCTGGCGGCATAATCAGGCCGGGCGGCCTAGGACGATAAAACACCGGTTGCTTGACGACAAAAATGGGATCCATACCTGGCAAGTATTGTAGCTTCTCTTTACTAGTCAAACCCTTCCTATACACTTCTTTTGGCAAAATAGGGGTTTCCGTGTATGGGAAGTTTGGGATATCCTCGGTTTTGGATTGGAAAACTTGTCGAGTAGTCATATCGACATCGGTGCTTGGCTGCAACATGTCTAAGACTTCTTTACTCTGCAAGTCCTGAGGTTCCAACAAGTTGATTAGCATACAAGCTTTCTTCCATGCCATGGGATTCTTGAATCCTTTAGTATGGATATCGGCTGCCATTTTGGCTGTAATTTCATAGATCAATACAAAATGATCCTTTTGGAAATGTTCATGCATGGAGGCAATGGAAATACCATGTGTGCGCTCCAAATGACGCACGGTTGGATTCCGTCCTGATCTGACAACACCAATCATACCTTGATTATCGTCATGAAACAGGAGTTGAGGAAAAACTTTGGCTAAGACTTTCCACAGACTTAATGCGGGGATTCCTAGAGTCCTAAGTGCAGTATCTGCAGCCACAATTTCAGCTTCGGGGGTAGAATGACTAACACACCCTTGTCGCTTACTTCCACCAGCAAGTGGGAATCTTGTGGACTTACCTTGGACTTGTAAGTGCGATCCTGAAGTTGATCTCAAGGATTGGGCACATCCAGCGAAATCCGCATCTGCAAATAGTCCTAATGATAGATCTTCAATTTTGTCTCCGACCCATCCTATCATCTTGAGGGACAATGTGGAATTAACTTATCTTAGTTTGGTTCACCTCAAACCTCTAACCGCGTTCGCGCCGTTCGCGTACTACGCATTTAAACTTAAAACTTAAAACTTAAAAAACCCAACATCGAGAATCCAAAACACACTCAGCGAAAACGAACTCAATCGGAAACGCAAACATGCTTCACTGAAACAACTGAGCACGACAGGAAAAATGAAAGTCCTTCTTTTTTAACAGCAATGGGGAGCCAGCGATCCGTTGACCGTTTCGCGTCAAAGGACTTTTTCCTTCACGCCTGGAGGTGGGATGGGTGTGGGGGGTCAAAAACCTCCAGGCGGTGAGAACGTTGTCCCACCCACCCTCCCTTGAAAATAAAAACAGATGGAATAAGAAATAACATGATTCGCAGCTTCCACGAAAACATGTGATAACATTTCAAACTTGGGTTCCAACATTCCACCTCAGGAATTTGAAAAACAAGTTTTGTTTCAAAAAGTTGTTTACCTTTTACCTCACATCGCCGCAGTTTGTGAGACCCTCACAAAAGAGGGACACAGACACGCAGGGCAAGACCGCGTAAGAAAGGGCGAGAGGCGAAGACACCAGGAAGGTAAACAACAAACGACACGAACGCTAGGAAGAGGAACTTGAGGACGGCAGCACCCTGCCTATGAACCAGTTTAAGATAAAGGCGTATCACTAAAGTGAGTCGCAGCTTATCTTATTTTGGTTCACCTCAAAACCTCCAAACGCGTTCGCACCGTTCGCGTACTACGCATAAAAACTTAAAACTTAAAACTTAAAAACCAAACACCGTGACTGCAAAACGAACTCAGCGAAAACGATCACATCCAAACATGCACAACTGCTCTCTGAGAAATTCGATCACGACAGGAATACAAAAGTCCTTCTTTTTTTCAGCAATGGGGAGCCAGCGATCCGTCGACCGTTTCGCGTCAAAGGACTTTTTCCTTCACGCCTGCCACCCCTTTCTGCGACCACACCTTCGTGAAGTCACAGCACGGCTTGCATCGTGTGTAGCCCTTCCTGTCGAGCTCAGTGAAGAAAAGTCTGGATGGATCGTCACCGATGTTTGATTTTGAAGGTACTCGCGAGTACCAGTTCATGGTCTGCATGCAGACATCCAGTTCAGCGTTTCGCACAAGCAACTCGTAATTGTCAGCTACTGGAGAGTATGACCTCACCAGAGCTGCTTGAGCTGAATTGTTGTCAATAAACCAGAGAACAGCTCTATGCGACAAAACTGTCGACCAGGTCAGTTTCGCGACCACAACCGGAAAAATCTCAGCCTGACAAATGAGTTGCACTCTGCCAGCAGATCTCCATTTGGCAACCCATTCCTCAGGTACTTCGTCTCCAAAGTAAACATAGGTATCTGTATGGAAATCAACAAGCACTGCACCATGCGAAACTTGCAAACCGTCCTGTTCGCACGCGCCGTCAGTAAAGACCAAGACTGGCCTCGTTCCAGTCCAAGCGTTGACCACCCTTGGGCCTGAGCTTTGAAGCAGCTCCAACGCAGCAAGCATAACGTTTTTCGTCCTCTCGTCAATAACCACTCATGGTCCTTCCCTAACCGCTTTGGAAATAAGCTGAATGGCAAGTTGAGTGCACCTCCCAAATGTGTGCCCCGCCGCATACAATAGACGCCCACGGAGCGTCTCAACAAGAGAAACTGGCACCTTCCGCTTTGAAACGATCTCTGTGACAAGGCCAGCAATGTCCTCCAGTCTCGAAGGTTTGTTGCACACAACGACCTTTCCATCACACATCATCGAGAGGTCCACCACAGCGCCCAACATTGTGAACTTTGTCGCAAAAGGCAGTCTCTTGTCCTCTGATGTTGAAATCCTCCAACCAAGCAGCTGCATCACCAACTCCGCCGTATCCCAAGCAGACTTGCAGAGCTTTGGGATTTCCAGTTGACAGAAATCGTCAAAGAAGTTGGTGTTCACTAACAGGAACAATTTTGACATGATGATGCGAAGGGCCCTCGCCATGCGATTAAAGCACATCACCGCCGACACTGATCCAAAGGGTAATGCAACTGACTCGTAAAATTCCACACTGTTGCTGTCTGGATTCCAGACTGCCAGCACCGCAGCCCATGCGTCCTCAGGGTGACGCGCAAGTTGTTTGTACGCTGCCTTTAAGTCCAGGGCTCTCCCCTGCAGTTGCTTCCATGGGCTCCCAGTGGTATTGTCACAGTGAGCCAAAACGGGAAAACCATCACAGTCGAACGTGATGGCATCAATACCCATAAAGAACCTTGCAGTGTTGATGACTTCGTCAATGCCATACAGCGCCAACTTCTCAGTCGACGTGACTGATGCGTTGACCAAGAACTCCGAGAAGTCGTCAACGGCCCTCACCTTACCACCCTGGCGCACACCAAAGCGCTTTGAGGGTATCCAGCACCCCCCAAAGCGCTCGTCCATCTGTTGCATCGTGAAAGGCCCCTTCACCCAGCCATCGCTAAGTTGCTGCTGTGTCTCCTGAAAAACTGCAAGGGCGATCTCAGGATCTGACGAGACTCTTTTGCAGGAGGAGTAAATCATCTTCTTAGCCCAGACTGAAGATTCCCTGAGCTGCTGCACTGTGATAGAAGCAGGTTTGATTCTCCGGGGAAACTGTCCAGAGGCCTGCATCGGCCCCGTCAACCTGACACCTGCCGTGAGTTCCTCAAACAGTGTCTCGTCAGCCACACCTGCGTCTGCACACATTTGTTGAAAAAGCTTCAGCCTCTTCCCACGCAAGACTTCGTTCACCTGGGGGTCCATGCAAGCCCTCAGTGCTCTCTCATCCTCCATGAGGTCAACTGCAAGTTTGGTGTAGTACCTGAGGTTTTTTGTTCTGAATTCAGCCACCTGCGCCTCAGTCCAGTCACGAATGGCCAGCATTGCTCTCAAATTGCAGTCGTCCACCAGCTGAGGTGAGTCCAATGGATGTTGCAAAGTTGCTGCAATACCCAAAAATTCCTCAGGTGTATAGTACACCCCAAACTCAGAAATCTGCATTTCTTCGTCGCCATTCACCCCTTTCACCATCTCCGTACGAGAAGAAATAAGCTTGGAATGCAGTGGTATCCCCTGAAATGGTTCAGGGCTTTCCTCAGTGATGGTTTTTGGAATACCAACTCGTGAAGACTTCACTACAACTTTGTGCTTGAACTCTGCCAAAAGCAAGGGACCAAGCTTTCCACGAGGCTGAGTTCCCGCTCCCATCCGTTGCTTGACATCCATAGTTGTGGAGGGCAGCTCAAAAAACTTGCCTGCCATTCTGATTTGCTCCGCAAAGGCTTGCGCCAACTGTTTGCACAAGGGCCATGGATACTCAGCCTCAGTGCTTGTTGAAAACACGGTGTCACCTGTGTGAGGTGATATAGTCTTCCCCCACGGCAAGTGCTGGTGTTTCCCATTGCAAGTAAGTTTGAGGTTGTTGGCCTCAAAGTTGAGGAGCAAGGCGGTCTTCTTTAGGCGCTGGCCGCCGTACATACAGCTATGAATGCACTGAAAATTGCAGGAGGTGGGCAAATCTTGAAAGAAAGTAGTATCCCACATCCAGGAGCGTTGAGGGTTCTCACAGATAAACGGGATGCCCAGCCGGACACATGTGTCAATGACCCGCCTTGTGAATGCATACAACGTATTTGCCAGCTTAACCTTCAAGGCTGGCACCCCTCTAAGGGAGGGGATTCCATTTGGCCACTTTTTGCTGCGTAGCGGTCTTGGTGCTGATCTCCTGCGGCCTGACTCAAAAACTGGAATCTCTCTGGCCCTACTGGACGTCCCGCATGGCGGAGCCAACATCACTGCATCAACCTTTCCTTGCTCCAACCATGAAATGACTTGGTCCTGTGTTTCCTTCTTGCAAAGGTCAGTCTTTGAAATAGGCCCCCTCATGCGCTTCTTGTCAACCATGTGATCCAATCCCAACGCATCTCCACCAAGCTGAATAAATGATGCAGCCACTCCAGCTGTTCCCGAAAAAATATCAAGCAAAAAGACTGTGCCATGTTTATCATCAGTCTGTGTGCCGGTTCCGTCACTTTTGCGATCGGCACCCATCGGCTTTGCCTGCCCCTCGGCAGGAACTTCAGAAAAGGATTGCCCTTCGGCATCACTTGCAACCACGCCTAAGAGCTTTCTCTCAGGGGCCATCGCCTGAAATCTTTGGCGCTTTTCGCCCTTTTCTCCAAAGATGCCTTGACGCTTTCGTGTAGGCTTCGATGAAGTAGAAAGACCTTCGTCTTCCATGAGGTGGCTGCTTTCAGCCTGGTCAGTCTTGCTCTTCGATAGTCACGATGACTTGTGGGCCGAAACAAAAGCATGTTTCTGCTTGCAACCTTTCTTGCAGCACAGGTGCATTCCTTTCTTGCACTCGTCCCCATTAGGACAGGAACCCAAGTTGAACGCAAAGCAGAATGGCCTGCCTTGCTCGTCGCATGGCACTCCACCCATGAGCTGCTTTGGCATGGGGGTTCTGCGCAGCTTCTTCAAGCGTGCTGCATCTGCTTTCGTCTTCTTACTGTCGCCATCTCTGTCTCGTTTGGAGTCCGAGTCCACCTTTGGTTTGTTCGCTGCCGCAATCGGCTGGACAGGTTTGATAACTTGGCGCTTTGGCAGAGGCATCAGCATCCACTTAATTTCAGGGCCCTGCAACAGCGCCCTCACATGGTCATCCAAAGGCAGCTGACCATTGGGGCCAGGGTGAAGTCCACCCCTAGTAAGTTCTGCCAACCTGACATGGAGCTCCCGGTCCGCTGCAGCAACCTGAGCTAACGATACTTGTGCAAAACCTTCCAATGGGTCCTTCTTCAGCTCGTAGAAATAAAAGTTCAGCAAGGTCTCGTGGACTTCAAAAGACATGGCCTGTGCAATCTCGTAGGCTGCACCTCTCCTACGTAATGCGTTGTGCACGTCCAGCTCCGTCGTCAAGATTGCCTGAATGTCAGGCTCCTTTGACACTGCCTTGACCACGCCAGAAGCGTCTGTCTTCCAAACCTTCAGGTCGGAGTCCTCACGTATGTTGTTTACCTCTTGGGACCTCGACGTGCACTTCGACCACTCAATGTAACGCACCCTTCCATCCTCCACGCACTGTACCAAGGAATTGATCAGCTGATGGGAGGGCTCCAGGACGTTCTGAATGACCAAGGGCCTCACTCTTGCCTGAAGCGCCTCCAATCTCTGTGCAATTTCTGGAGGAGGCAATTTGCGAGGCGCCTCCTGTTCATTGGCTTCGACCTTTCGACGAAGGTCAGCTGAAGTAAGGGTGTGGCTCTCATAGAACAGCCTCCGCAACTTCGGGGCGTCAATGTGCCCCTCATCACCCAAAATGGGTACCAAGACTCCGTCAATGAAGTTCTGGTCATCGCCCGCCGCAGGGTTGGTTGCCACTGCAAATGCGAAAGTGGCATGAGTCACCCAACCACGTGTGGCCAGAGCATTGATGACGGGCTGGGCGATTCCAATCGAAAGAGCCCTGCTTTCAAACACCGCATTGCTATCCACGAGAGACATTGCAGCAGTCAGCGGGTGATCAAAAGAGATTGTATCATTCCAGAACTAGCCAGAATTAAAACAATGCAAATCCAGTATGGTCACCCTTGCAGTGATTCACTGTGTCAGGCATGTATCGGTCCTTCCTGATTGCCAAAAAAAAATTGAGTTTGAAAAACTTCAATTGCTCTGCCTATCTTCCTCTGAAGATTTTCACAGTGCTTTCACTGTGGCTTGCTGAAACCATCATGGCATACATTCAAACAAATGACTGGATGACACTGCGCCGTCTTGCATCATTGAAATGCTCTCACTTCATGGTACATGTCAGCAAAAAAAATACCACACGCATCTCAAGTCGTGACTCAACACTTCGTGTTGTAAGGCCCAAGCACTTTTGCTGTTCACGCCCCCACCGCTCTTGTCATTACAATTCCATTGAGCTCTCCAGCGCTTGGAAATGACGTGAAGTCACAAAGCGGTTGCAGACTTGCATGCAGTGGATAAAAGACCATTGGAAAAATGAACTGTTGTGGGTTTCATCGGTTTCTTCAACGCCAACTTTCAAGCTGTGCTCACACGGCCTGGCATCTAAGTCCCACCACTCTTCGGTGTTGGTACCGCTGTACTGCAGCAGGTGGGGCATCAACCAAGTACACAAACTCAACAGTTGATGACCAAACTGACAAAACCACAACATATGGAACATGCAGACTACCGTGGTGTGAAAACATGATTCCACTATGTCACAATGATTTCCGTTGCGTTCACTGACATCTGACTGCCCTTCAGCATTTGAGGCCGGAGCACCAACTGTCTCGCTCACGTCAAAGAAGACGTTACAAATCGAGTTCGAATTGGTGGGAGTGACAGCTGACAAGGTCACAGCATCTCGCCATTCAGCTGCCAAAAGAAAAACGGCATGCCAGTTATCATGCACCACTCAGTTGGATTGGTGATGAAGCCGGTATCATTGTGACATCACTGCATATTGTATAAAAGAAGACAAATGCAACAAGGTGTGAAAAATCAGTTGCACTCTAAGGTCCATGCCCTGCCGCCAGATGAATCCGACGGATGCACAAAACTCACACATATTTGTGACGTCACTCATGACAAGTTGACCTATGTCACATGGCAAGACAAATCTGCCAAGACCGCTCCATCGGCTGTGCATGTTTACAGAGCCTGCTTAGGGCCAGACATTTCTGGTGGTTACGTGCCAACCCCTGGACGAGCATGGAGCATTTTTTAAAAAAAAACTCACAGTGCAAACATTTCACACAAGAACGTTCATGAGGTTCAAACCGCAACACCAGAAAAACATCTTGTGCACTTGTATGGCATGAAGTTTGCAACGTCAGTCACTTGTTCAAAATTCTTGGTTGCAATCTTGCCACACTTCAAGACTACTGCGTCACCATCATCTTCATCAATTGGAGACGGCTTTGCAACATGACAGCACCCACTTTTGATGTGCTTATATACATCAAGGTCTCCTATGGAGTAGTGCAGCTCACTTGCAATTGAGGCCCCGACAATTGGCGCGGCGACCTCCGCATCCCTATCTTCGTCAGAAGTTTGGCAACCAGTCTCAAACAGCCCATGATCTCCCTCACTGACGCTAGACATGGACACATCACCGTCCGAACCACAGAACTCCCACTCAGCATGAATTGGGGACTCAGGTTCGTACTCATCAACAGTATTCTTCTGTGGAAGATATGACTGCTTTGAGAGAAAAATCATGGCATCCTGCAAACTGCTCACATGAGGCACCGACCACCTTCGCGACCTGGTCACATCAGGGTTGAAGATGTGCTCCTTGATAATGAGCATGATGCCAGCGATCGCATGCAGCACTGGCGCTTGAGCATCCCGTGAATATTCCAACGCAGACTTGGATCCAGGGTCCACATGATAGCCAGCCAAACGCCTGATGTCCTCAGGGCAGCTGCACTTGGCCATCCAGCTGAGGATCGTCGCTTTCAATGAGTGTGTTGCAATCTCGCTCACATCACATCCAGGTCTGAGCTTCGAGAAGATCTCCCTGAGCCATGTCGTCGCCTGTGAGGGCTCCAGTGGCACTTGGCCCCATCTTCCACCTGCAAGTGGCACTGGCATCGTCGGAATACCTGGACCTGCACTGAGCCCTTGCACCTGCCGTTGCTGCAGCCACGGCGTTGCCCAGTCACCCATCAGCCCTGGCAGGCAACATGCCAAAGGGAGAAGTCTCCTAGATTGCTTCTGCCTCCCAGCGGTCTTGTGGTGATAGAGCTCTCCCTCCAAGAAGCCAGACCCATTGTGAACATCCGTGTATGGCTCATACTGGCAGTATTGGCCATCAGACCACCTCAACCTTGCATGGAGAACTAGGCAAACGTATCCAGCAAAAATGGCTTCTTGCCCAGCGCCATTCATTGCAATGTTCTCCATTGCAGCTACTTGCCAGGCTTCAAGTGGCACCTTCTTTCGGCGGCACCATGGGTGTGATGACAGCGCCCCTGAGCCTTGGGGATTGCAGACACGTCCCAACATCGGCTCCCAGCATATGATATGAGAATGCCAAGCTCTCCAGGAACCTCGCGGGCTTAGTTCTCGGTGCATTCAACTGACGAAGCTCCAGCACGTACCTGTAGGCCTGATCTTCTGTGACTGGAAAAATCTTTGCATCATCACTGATCGCCTTCTTCCATCTAGCAAATGCCATGAGTGAAGATGCTCTTGAACGTAAAGTTGAAACAGACTTTCCAGCAAAAGAATCACGAATGACCTGTTCCTCCGTCATGTCAGTCACCGTCCCGTCCAAAATAGACCTAATCTGGCGACCCAAAACTGAAGTTTCCAAATCATCAGAAACAATAATCCTCCAGTTCTCCAGGGCCCTCGATAAAGATCTCTCTTGTGCTACCGGCCAAGGAATCACAGATGTCACCCTAGACCATGTCACCTTTCCAGCAACCTCCTTCTGATCAAATGTGACATGATGATCTGCATCGCTCTGTAAGGGAACAAACTTGGGGGCCTCCACCAATCTCTGTCGCTTTCCAAAAATAGGTTTGAGACACGGCTGCTCCCAGGGCAATGTAATGGTCGAACGTCTGACTCCCAGCCTATAGCTCTCAGCCATCAATTGAATGTCCATGGCTCTAAACGCCTCACCGCACAGTGTCCAAAAAAACAGGATGGCCACTTTAGACCACCCCATTTCAAAAACCTCCAGGCGGTGAGAACGTTGTCCCACCCACCCTCCCTTGAAAATAAAAACAGATGGAATAAGAAATAACATGATTCGCAGCTTCCACGAAAACATGTGATAACATTTCAAACTTGGGTTCCAACATTCCACCTCAGGAATTTGAAAAACAAGTTTTGTTTCAAAAAGTTGTTTACCTTTTACCTCACATCGCCGCAGTTTGTGAGACCCTCACAAAAGAGGGACACAGACACGCAGGGCAAGACCGCGTAAGAAAGGGCGAGAGGCGAAGACACCAGGAAGGTAAACAACAAACGACACGAACGCTAGGAAGAGGAACTTGAGGACGGCAGCACCCTGCCTATGAACCAGTTTAAGATAAAGGCGTATCACTAAAGTGAGTCGCAGCAAGTATGTGCCAGAGGGACCAGCAACAGAGCAGCCAAGCGGAAACACACTCCATTTTTCAGTGAAGTACGTTTTGTTTGCATTTTCAACGGCTGCGAAAATCCAACAGGACCTAATTACAACCACTAGTCGCGCTCCTAACGTCGCAAGGGGTCGGCTTAACTCCGCGTCGAGCGTTTAACAAGTTAAAACCCAAAACACGACGGCTGTCACTGCAAAACTCAATTCCCTTTTCCACACAGGAAAACACGAAAAGCGAGCTGTCTATCCAGCTATGTCTTGCACATGCAGCATGCATGTTTGACTTCTCTTGTCTTGGCTGGTCTGCTCTGTTGTAAAAAAGGCAGCGGCGGCATGCAAAAACAACTTCAGAATAAAACGGTCTCCACAAACTTCTTCTCACTCAAAGGCGGTGAATTCGACTTGTTCGAACTCACCATGTTGTTCCACAAACATCTTTGTTCATTCGCATCTTCTCGTCAAATTCCAAAAACATCAAAAACGTTGGCAAAACATTTGGCAACTTCCAGAACGAAAATGCAGTCCAGTTGAGAAAACATTCTGTTGAGATTGTTGAAAAACATCATGCACATGGAGTTGATAAACGACGTCAAACTTCACCTCAAAACGTTCGCACCAAAAACTCATTCCAAATTCATTTGCTGTTCAGATTGCATCAAGTGCAAATGAATTTCACAGAAAACGAAGTTCTTCTCCAAAAGGTTGATGTCAAACATCATTATCCAAAAATAATCCAATCTCCATGCTTCTGTATCCAAATTCAGATGTCTTCACATCGTTCTGCATCATTTCCAGAGTTCTGTCCAACCGTATTGTCAAAAACATCAAATCATAGCCACCATGCCAGTTACATGCAGGAAACGTAGCACATGCCCACTGTATGCACGGGAGTGTATATTTCCATACCCCCTTTTGCTGCGTTTCCCATCCATCCAAATCCAGCTAAATTCAGTCGAAGTCAAAAGGCTCACACATGCTGTCCATATGTATAAAATTGCTGTCATCTGTTCAACCTCCCAGTGAGGACTTGCACACGAAGTCGCATCTTCACACCAGTTGCAGATGTATTGCAAAAATACCTGTGTACTCGAATTAATCCTGTGTTTATATCCATTGACCGTGTCCACATTCTCATTGATGTAGAAAGAAAACGAAAAAGCAGTGTCAAAGTGCCACATTGAAATTGCTCCACAACGAATTCCCTGCAGTCCAGCTCATCACCAAGGAAGCCCAAAGATTCTGCAGAGAACATTCATCGTAACAAATTCCAGGCACATTGCACATGCAAAACCAAAATCGCCACATCCAGCTTCATGTTGGCATCCGCAATCACTCCATTAGCGCCAAGAGAACTCACGCTGGTAGACATAGCCGGCATTGAGGAATGCGTCTACCCTGCAGTGAATTAAGAATGCACAGAAATCAAACGGCCCATCTTGAGAAGCGTGCATGACCAGTGATATGTATCCTTGATCCATGCAGGTTGTGGCACATTAAAATCGACCTCCTCATAGTCGATTGTGGCATCCTTCCAATTGTCATCCCACTTGTGGGTTGCTGGCAGCCCTGACTGCACCTTTGGAAATAGTGGCGGGGAGTCGCCGGTGTCGGAGATGAATGAAAAGCTTCCCATGACACTGCTGGCACTCTCTGCATCCGAATTCGACTCGACAGCCTCATGCCTTCTTTTGGAGCCATCGGTCATAGCGCCATTGTCAGGAATTTTGTTCGAATTGCCTTCCACAACCTCCGGAGGCTCTTCAGAGATGCGTGCACATTTCGAACCAGAAGCTTTGGGAGCAGGCAACATTGGTCCTTTAGGACCCTGCTTCCCCTTCTCTCCTTCCTTTCCTTTGAATTCACCTTTGAATTCTCCCTTTGCCACATTCTTGCCACCTTTGTCATCCTTGCCACCCTTCTCATCTTTGCCACCTTTCGCAAATTCAGGCTTACCACCCTTTTCAAATTCCGACTTGCCACCTTTGACATTGTCAGGCTTACCACCTTTGTCATAGCTCTTTCCTTTGCCCTTCTGCTCCTGGAATGCTTTCTCACTTCCAATTGCAGATGCAGGCAAAATCGGTGGGTCTGCCTTTGCTGCAGGAGGTAGAGGAACCTGTGCATTGAATTTTGGAAACCCTGCAGACTGACCATCTCCATCAGCACAGTAGCGGTTGGCAATCTCAGCAATGGCCGCAGCCGCAGCTTTAGCCTCTGCAATATCCGCATTCTTCTGCACGACATTTCCAAAAAGTTGTATCACAGGCTTGTCATTCTTCGGGTCTTTGACATCATCCTCAATCCAAGGGTCGTCATTGGGATCATATGGCCTGTCTTGCCATTTCTTGTGGTATTCACGTGCATCGACGAACCCTGAATTCCCTCCAGCTGGCAAAGTAGGCGGCGGTGTTGCCGGAGGCACCTTGTATGCATTCTGGCTGTAGGCATCCGGCCATAGAGCACCAGATGGTGCAGCCGATGCAGCAGATGAATTCGAGCCTGTCGGAGCATGCACTTTGGAGGGACTTGGAGGCACATGCGATTCTACACAGTCCTTCCACTCATCATCATCTGGTGGGTAGGGTCGATTCATAGGAGCATTCTTGACCTCTTTCTTGCGCACAGTCAAGAGTTCATTCATTTTCCCACCAGCCTCAGCCTTGCGCATAAGCTCGCGCAATTGGTCCCATTCTCCCTGCGTCATGTCCGTTCCCAAGACTGGGTCACTTGGGTTGTAAGGCAACGAATTCTCCTTCTGTCGGTACCATCCAGAAGCATCACTATGCCATTGCTGTGGTTTTGAAGCCATGGCGTCACGTCAGAACCTAATTCCTAATTGTGAACTGTTTCAACCCTCACACACACACACAGGAGTCGAGTGCAGCAGTTGAGCCGTTTCAGGGGTTCCTAAGTGTCCGCAACTGCTGAGTTGGGCGTGTGAGTGAATTCTGAAACGTGACATCCTTAGTTCTCCAGGCAGTGTTCTGACTTGCATTCTGTATCCAAAACGTTGCAAACGAAAACAAACTTCTGTCCAACCCTGTCCACATCAGTCCAATGCAAAATCAACTGAACATGCAGACACGACTGAACATGCAAAATTACTGTGTTTCTACATCAATGCAGTGCTTCACATCAAAACTCTGTGCTTCGCGTACGCCAGTGCTTCGCAAAAAACCAACTGTGCTTCACATGACTGCTGTGTTCCACATCACTGTCATTTGGTTTCAAATTTGTTTGAAATAAGACATGCAAAACATCTTTGGTTCTCACATGCCAAAACTTTCCTTCACACATCACGCGTCCCCCTTTTAAACTGGCGACGTCCGGAGACGTGCAAATCAAAATTAAAACAGTTCCACCTGCCACGCACCTTTCTTCAAGAAAATCATGCAACATGCAGGTCAAAACAAAAACGTTTGTTTGGGTTTTGGTTGCTTCCATGCGACATGCAAAACAAAAACATGAACATGCTCAGGGATCCTTCCGTCCAGCACGAACTGCGGCCAAAATGGCCTTTGCCAGTTCTTTGTTATACACACCGGTTGCTGTCCAGTTGACATCGTACATCCCTGCATGTTTCTCACATTCGCACCAACCAAAACGCTTTGTGAGCAAATTGCAAAAAACAGCTGACGCACTACAAAAGATAAGCACTTTACCGATAGGCAGTCCATTTGGTGCTTGCATACCGGTTTGACATAAAAACACCTCAGCATCAAACTGCAAACCACATTGTTTCAAAACTCGTTTGGTCTCTTCGCGTTTCCATATGTTGTTGTTTCGGGGCAGTTCGAAAGACCTCGAATTCCCAAGCAACAAATACTTAGAGACGTTCTCCATGATACCTTTCCATGACCTGTCTGCCTCTGATTCGATCGTTGCAGAAAAATTCTTGAGTGGAGATCCTGAGCTACAAGGAGTAGAAGCGTGCACATGCACCCAACGGTAGCCTAACTGTTGGTGAACCTCAACAAACTCTTTCACCTTTTGGAACATGTCCGGAGTTTCCATTCGTTTGACTATACCGATATAGGGCATGCGTGCAACTTTGCATGCTTCTCTCAAAGCTGAATTGGTTCCACAACAAACTTCCACAAACGCAACATCTTGCTTGTGATCAACCCTACTGTTGATGAGCATGACATCACGCACTCTGTGCAGGTCTTGCATAGGCACTTCAGGAGTCTCAAACCCTAAGCTTGTGCGGTGTCTCAGAAAATCTTTGGTCCCCAAACATTTGGTAAACAAATCTGCCACATTGTCCGTTCCGGCCCTGTGTTCAACCAAAAGTTCATTTGAGCTAATTTTAGCTTTCATCCAGGCCATACGAATTTCCACATGTCTACTTCGTTTGGGTATATCCTGTCCGACCAACAATTGCAAGGCTGAAGAGCTATCTGACTCCAGCAAGATTTGTGGCACATCTCTCTCTCTCATTTCACCAATCCCTGTGTAAACACAATGGCAAAAATTGCTAAACGCAACAGATTCTTGGGCAACCATTTGCAATGCATACA